GTAACCATGGTTAACAAAGGAAGAACAATGACTTCAAGCACCACCCTCCTTTTAAAGCTTCCAGTCTGTTATTCTAACTCAGGGGTCCTCAAACTACGGCCCGCCGAGGACATTTATCCGGCCTGCCGGGCAGGGGCGTATCTGCCGCGAGGCAAGGGACTAGGGTTTGGCAGGTCGGGAGAGCTCAGCAGGGCTAGGGCGGGAGGCAGGAGGGCGGGATCAGCAATTCTAGAACAGGGGAAGGTGGGCTCGGCTTATGAACCCGCACCACTCACTTGGCCTCTCTGCAGCCAGCCGGTCATCTATTCTGATCAGTGCATGCAACCGTCACGGCCGGAGGGCGGAGCCTAGAGCTGACCATGAAGAGGGGGAGCAAGAGAGGAGACTCCATCGCTGCATGTCGGGTATCACGGCCACGGACCCTAGATAAGTGCAATAGATGATCGATTTCCCCCCCCTCTCCCTCCCCCCCCCCTCTCTCTCTCTCTTTATATTGTACACAGATCTGACCCAACAAGGTGTCCTGCATTTACCGTATATTTCGCTCCATAAGACACACTTGGGGGGAAATGTCTGTGCGTCTTATTGAGTGTCCGGCCCAGTATTCCTGTCGCCGTTGTATGTCCGCAGTCTCTGGTCATCTCCTATACTGTGTCCGCATTTGTTCAGTTTTTTTTTTTTTAAGCTATAGTCCGGCCCTCCAACGGTCTGAGGGACAGTGAACTAGCCCCCTGTTTAAAAAGTTTGAGGACCCCTGTTCTAACTCAGTCAGCATGACAGAGCGATCTCCAGCCTTGTCCTCATCAACACTGACACCTGTGTTAACAAGAGAGTCACTGACATGTCGTCAGCTGGTCCTTTTGCGGCAGAGCTGAAATGCAGTGGAAACAGATTTTTGGGAATAAGTTCATTTTCATGGCAAAGAGAGACTTTGCAACTAATTGCAATTCATGTGATCACTCTTCATAACATTCTTGAGTATATGCAAATTGACATTATTTCAAACTGAGGCAGCAGGTTTTGTCATTCCCAAAACTTTTGGCCAAGGCTGTACTGGTGCCCACACTGCAGTGGAGTCTGCCATACAGTGCAGAGCACAAATACAGAATACCTGTTTAGCCATCCATGCTAACAGTCAGGGCTGCTGTTAGAAATCATAGGGCCCCGTACAGCCTACCTGACCCCACATCCCTGAAAATATCAAAAGATATATTTGCTAAAATACCACAGCCTGGATGCCATGCTTTGAAGCCATGGCACAAATGATACCCTTGTCAAACAACTCTCATTGAAGTGAATAGTGCCAGTGGTGTGGCTATGGGGGTGTGAGGACTTCACCCGGGTGACACCCACCAGAGGAGTCACACCATCATATCCATGACAGCACAGCACTGATCAGCAGCTGCTCTGTCCTGCTGTCGCTTCGCAGTGGCAAGACAGAGCACTGTGGCAGGCTAGGGGGAAAGCACTGCCAGACCTATGCGTCCCCATCTCCTCCAAGGACTTTTGTTCTCCTAGCAGCAGGAAATGTGGATAGGTAGTCGTAAAGTGCGCAGTTTGATGTTAACGAGCGATCCAGTGTTATCTGCTGCATGATGAAGAATCGCTGTTATGACAGGAGAGAGAGCACAGCTCAGCCTGAACCGCTGCCACTTCTCCTGTATAGGCAGAAAGCCTGTATGTTTCAGGGGGAGGGGAGTTGGGAATTGTACTGGTAACACAATGGGGGGGTGGATGGTGATGACGGGTGAACAATAATTGTTCTAATGGGGGAAGGGTATGTGTTGGGAGGTTAGAAGTCACAATTAGGATGGGGGGGGGGGGGGGGTTGGATATTTGTATTAGGAGGGGGAATGGGGAAGATATTTTCATTAGGAAAGGGAGGATATTTGTATTGGGGGGGGGGGAAGGGGAATTTGTGCTAGAAAGGGATCAGCTAAGTGCCCTGCCATCACTGATCCTGTCCTCTTCTCTGCTGACCACTGTATTGTACAATGCCCTACAGATACTGTATACTGCCCTGATAAACTTCTGTACACTGCCCTACACACTAATGGCCCCTGTACACTGCTGTCCTACACACTAATGGCCCCTGTACACTGCTGTCCTACACACTAATGGCCCCTGAACACTGCTGTCCTACACACTAATGGCCCCTGAACACTGCTGTCCTACACACTAATGGCCCCTGTACACTGCTGCCCTACACACTAATGGGCCCCTGTACACTGCTGTCCTACACACTAATGGCCCCTGAACACTGCTGTCCTACACACTAATGGCCCCTGTACACTGCTGCCCTACACACTAATGGCCCCTGTACACTGCTGCCCTACACACTAATGGCCCCTGTACACTGCTGCCCTACACACTAATGGCCCCTGTACACTGCTGCCCTACACACTAATGGCCCCTGAACACTGCTGCCCTACACACTAATGGCCCCTGTACACTGCTGCCCTACACACTAATGGCCCCTGTACACTGCTGCCCTACACACTAATGGCCCCTGTACACTGCTGCCCTACACACTAATGGCCCCTGAACACTGCTGCCCTACACACTAATGGCCCCTGTACACTGCTGCCCTACACACTAATGGCCCCTGTACACTGCTGCCCTACACACTAATGGCCCCTGAACACTGCTGCCCTACACACTAAGTGGCCCCTGTACACTGCTGCCCTACACACTAGTGGCCCCTGTACACTGCTGCCCTACACACTAATGGCCCCTGTACACTGCTGCCCTACACACTAATGGCCCCTGTACACTGCTGCCCTACACACTAATGGCCCCTGTACACTGCTGCCCTACACACACTAGTGCCCCTGTACACTGCTGCCCTACACACTAATGGCCCCTGTACACTGCCCTACACACTAATGGCCCCCCCTGTACACTGCTGCCCCTACACACTAATGGCCCCTGTACACTGCTGCCCTACACACTATGGCCCCTGTACACTGCCCTACACAACTAATGGCCCCTGTACTGCTGCCCTACACACTAATGGCCCCTGTACACTGCTGCCCTACACACTAATGGCCCCTGTACACTGCTGCCCTACACACTAATGGCCCCTGTACACTGCTGCCCTACACACTAATGGCCCCTGTACACTGCTGCCCTACACACTAATGGCCCCTGTACACTGCTGCCCTACACACTAATGGCCCCTGTACACTGCCCTACACACTAATGGCCCCTGTACACTGCTGCCCTACACACTAATGGCCCCTGTACACTGCTGCCCTACACACTAATGGCCCCTGTACACTGCTGCCCTACACACTAATGGCCCCTGTACACTGCTGCCCTACACACTATGGCCCCTGTACACTGCTGCCCTACACACTATGGCCCCTGTACACTGCTGCCCTACAAACTAATGGCCCCTGTACACTGCCCTACACACTAATGGCCCCTGTACACTACCCTACACACTAATGGCCCCTGTACACTGCTGCCCTACACACTAATGGCCCCTGTACACTGCCCTACACACATATGACCCCTGTACACTGCCCTACACACATATGGCCCCTGTACACTGCCCTACACACTAATGGCCCCTGTACACTGCCCTACACACTAATGGCCCCTGTACACTGCCCTACACACTAATGGCCCCTGAACACTGCCCTACACACATATGGCCCCTGTACACTGCTGCCCTACAAATTGCCGACCCTATTCTCTGCCCTGCTGATCCCTTGTACACTGTCCTACCAACTCTCATACACTGCACTGCTGGCATTGCATCCTCTGCCCCCCTTGACATTTTTACTGCACCCCCATATCAGACAGGCTAGATCCGGCGATGCGGTAAACCATGGTGTGTGGGGGAGTGACATTAAACCTAGTGACGCCATGGATTAGCACTGCTCTGCAAGCACCCCCCCCCCCCCCACCTGTGGGCAAAACATGTGAGTTAGTACAGGGTTAAAGCAGGCCGTGAGGAGGCAATATGCCTCCTCACCACCTGTCAAATGTTCTCTGAAGAGCGATCCAAGAGCTGGCAAAAAGCAAAGCACATGTGAACGAGATTTTAATTTTTTTTTATTACTTTTTAGAATTACATTTTTTCACACATTTTGTATTTTTTTTTTTTTCCCTGTTGGGGGCACTTTAGTGAACTCAGGGATCTCACATCACATCAGACCCCTGATGTCTCATTTGAGAATGAGAAAGAGACATAGATTCATCAGTCCCTTTCTCTACAACCTCAGCTGCAGATGAATGAATAGAAGCGCTCTGAGGCCTCCTGTGCATTCACAAACAAACATAGTAAACACTGTTTACTATGCTTCAGTCATGAATGGACACAGAAGTGATTGGTGTCGATCACTCACTGTGTTAATGCAGGAAAGGAAGTATTACATTTACTAGCCCCCAGCTCTGTATTCTGAAACAACCCCCCCTCTATGTGCCCTCAGCAGCTGCCGGCAGGAGAGGAGGGTAGCCAGCAGCACTACAAGGGTAGGGGGATACATAGGGGGGCCCGACAGCAGATGGAAGCAGATACTAGAATCGATATCCCAGCAGCGCAGCAAGAGGGAAAAAGCCAGATGCGCTACAGGGGTATCCACAGGAGTCACAAAGCAGTAAAGCCGGCCCACCTACTCAAAAAAATGTCTGGGCCCCCCCTCCCTCCTTTGAACTGATAGGGCCAAGGCTTGGTACAGGAGGGCCGGCTGTATTGCCTTATCATCCGCCTTGCTAAAAGTATCTCTTTAAAATTGCTTGTAAGGCTTGTATTGTTTGGAGTTCTCATTTTAAATGAAACTATGGTTGGGGATCATTTTTTTCTATTATGTTAATAAGTCTTTGACCCATTCCTGGCCACGCCAGCGTCCCTTTAAAAGGTCTGAATGCCAGGGGGGGCGAGAAAGATTGGCCATTGCGGCTGGCTGTCACATACAACTGCAAACAACTTATCGGGTAAAATTCTTATGCATATGAAGACTGCTGTTGGTTAAGCTATTCAGGCTACACACCTGAAACCGCCCACGCTTGAAGGCACTGGTTCCAGAGGTGGTCCCCTCGGACAAGGCACATTCAGCCAGTGCTTCTACAACCCTTTGCGTGGCATCAGATACTTCCCGTCTTGTGCCATCCTCATCCGCTACTAAATAAAAAAAAAGAAAAAAAAAAAGACAAAAACAGGTCACACTGCTCAGTAGATTTCGTGACTTACAACCTCCTACCAAAAATAAAGGGGGGATACGGCAGAAGAATACAACGACGAGTGCGGCTTCCAGTTGATAATACACATTGCCATGCTCAGGCCGAAACCAGTGGTAACACATGAAAGACAAAAAAAAAGCAATGAAAGCCCAGGGCTCTTACAACCGTGCCTTTTAAGACACAAAGCTAGACAAACACAAAAAAAAAAAAAAAAAAAGGCAAAGTGAGGGAGCAAGAGACGTGAGGAACACTTCTGAGGATGAGTAAAAACAAAAATAATAAGGGAACGCATTAAAAAGAAATATATACGTACGGAAATAACCAAAAGGGATGTTTCCTATGGTAGGGGCCTAACTGTAAGCAACACTACCTTGGCGGACTCTTGACCTCTTGAATAAGCTGTTGGAATGCCGCAACCTGCATGCCCAGCTTTTTAATTTGCGAGCCCACGGTTTCTTGCTAATAGGGTTTTTGAGACTAGGACAAGTAAAGCTTAGGCCAAAATATCCACCTCCTGTCTGTAGATGCGCGGCTCCGCTGCCCAAAGAGCGCTTGGTGCAGGCATGAGAACTCCCAGGGTGCCAGGCCTCTTCAGAGCTTTCCTGGAGAAGGTGGAAGAAATGAAGAAAAAAAGAGCAAACAAGAAGATGTAAGACTGAACATGTTACTGTGAAGCACATTGGTGAACGGTTGCAGGGATTTTAGAGATTTACACATAAAGGCCTTGTTTCTTCTTTTTTCTTTTTTTTTTTTTAGAAAAAACAATGCTCATCACACTTTTCCCGTCTCCATGTGTAAAATATACTGCTGCAGTAGAACAATGTAGATAACCCAAGTAATCCTAACAATATTCACTGCAAAACAAAACCAAGGTGTATTAGATTGTGCAGAAGATTATTTAAACCCTGAATCTGGACAAAATTATTCCTTTCGGGGGGGGGGGGCCATGCCTGCACTGCAAGGGTTAATTGCTTTTGTGTGTCTAGGGTAGGGATCAACAAACTTTCAAAACGTAAGGGCCAGGTTAGTATCCCTCAGATTTTTTAGGGGGGACCGGACTGTGGCCAATGGGAGCAGAAAATGTCCTGGAGTCAGTAAGGGGAATTGTACCCCATTGTCTGTGTAAGGAAATAGTGTCCTATCATTAGTGCTGTTGGTGTCGGTAGAAGGAATTGTGCCCCATTGTTGGTGTCAGTGGAAGGAAAAGTGCCCTACCATCAGTGTCAGTAAAAGGAAAAGTGTCCATAAAAGGAAAAGTACCCTACCATCAGTGTCAGTGGAAGGAAAAGTGCCCTACCATCAGTGTCGGTGGAAGGAAAAGTGCCTTATCATCAGTGTCAGTAAAAGGAAAAGTGCCTATCATCAGTGTCAGTAAAAGGAAAAGTGACCTATCATCAGTGTCAGTAAAGGAAAAGTGCCCTATCATCAGTGTCAGTAGAAGGAAAAGTGCCCTACCATCAGTGTCAGTAGAAGGAAAAGTGCCTCATCATCCTAGTGCCTTATCAGTGTCAGTGGAAGGAAAAGTGCCCTACCATCAGTGTCAGTAAAAGGAAAAGTGCCCTACCATCAGTGTCAGTAAAAGGAAAAGTGCCCTACCATCAGTGTCAGTAAAGGAAAAGTGCCCTACCATCAGTGTCAGTAAAAGGAAAAGTGCCTTATCATCAGTGTCAGTAAAAGGAAAAGGAAAAGTGCCTCATCATCAATGTCGGTGGAAGGAAAAGTGCCTCATCATCAGTGTCAGTGGAAGGAAAAGTGCCCTACCATCAGTGTCAGTGGAAGGAAAAGTGCCCTACCATCAGTGTCAGTGGAAGGAAAAGTGCCCTACCATCAGTGTCAGTGGAAGGAAAAGTGCCTCATCATCAGTGTCAGTGGAGGAATAGTGCCCATCTCCGGTGTCAGTGGAAGGAAAAGTGCCCCCGTCAGTGGAGGAAATAGTGCCCCCATCAGTGTTGGAAGGAAAAGTGTCAACGTCAGGAGGAATAGTGCCCCATCATTGTGTGTCATTAGGAGGGAATAGTGCCCCATCATTGGTGTCATTAGGAGGAATAGTGCCCCATCATTGGTGTCATTAGGAGGAATAGTGCCCCATCATTGGTGTCATTAGGAGGAATAGTGCCCCATCATCATTGGTGTAGTGCCCCATGGTGTCATTAGGAGGAATAGTGCCCCTAGTGGCAGGAATTATGTCTCATTGTTGTCAGTGGATGGAATAATGCCACCAGGCCAGGTAAAGGCAACCAAAGGGACGATTTCTGGGTCCTGGGCCACAGTTTGGATATCACTGGTTTGGGGAGAGGAAAGGTGGGGGGGGGGGGGGGAGATTTACTTACCCGATTCTCTGCTCCTCCTCCCCAATGCTAGGCTGGTCCCCACAGCATCTGCACTTCTACGTTCCACCTATCTAAGTTCATGACATCAAAACCAGAGGAGGGTCCATAGCCCTGCACTGTATGTGAGGGCACCAAGGGACAGTCCACTGACAGATCTTGGGGGTGAGCCGCTTTCCAGGGGAGCAGAGGATCAGGTAAATAAAACAGTTTCTACTCTCCCCTAGACAAAATGAGCAATTAACTGTTACAGTGAAATTATCCCACTACAAGGGATACTTTCTAATTTCCCTGGAGTTGAGGCTTTAAGAAATACAGTGCCACAAGATCAATACACCTGGTCCTCCAATGTGTGAAAGATGGAGAGAATGCTACTCAACCATTTAATCATATATATTTATCAAACAATTTTCTACACGATTCAGTGTGCATTGGTTTTGCTTTTTCATTTGCCATATACAGCTTTCTTGAATGAAATGCTTGAAAGGCTGGCAGAGATGAAAGGTATGCCGAGTAATGAATGGGTGGGAAAGTTCCAATTCACATGACGGATACTTCATAATATTCACAATACCCTCATAGGACAAGACATAGGAGGACTCAAATCATTTGCTATCAGCGAAAAAAATGTCAATGCTGTAAAATCGTGGTACGGGATAAAACATCAGACACCTTCAGTACTGATGAGTATGCAGCTTTAGGGGTAAAGTGTTGGTATAGGAATTAAGGTTAGGTGGTCTATTTATAAATATGTCAGGGGGAAGAAAAAACAAAAAACAAACATTCAGTACATCTTTACAATACATGCATTTTCCTGTTTTTTTTAATCACTTTACAACTACAAAAAAATGCCTCCTGATCTGCTAGGAATGTACTTTTGCTCCTAATTTTCTTTTGTGGCTGACACCCTGCCTTTTCTGGAAAACACAAGGAATGGTGTCAGCCCTGCCCAGTTGTCTCTTGGTAATCTACACAAACTCTGACACTCCCCTCTTTGCAACATAAAGGCTAATGCAGACCATAGACGGGGAGAAAACCGGCCGTTTTTTTTTTTTTTACAGAAAAACGAAAAATCGGTCGTTCAGTCGGCTGATGTTACCACCATTGGTAAAAGAAAGTCGGATGATTTTCGTCCCGTCTACGGCCGGCAAATACAATAGCGGTGTCCCTGCAGAAAGCTCCGCTATTATATTTGACAGAAGAAATAGAATAGAATATGAAGAAGAAGAAACAGAATATGAATAATAAGAAGAAATAGAATATGAATAAGAAGAAGAAAGAGGTAAAAGTAAAAGAAGAAATAGAAAATGAAGAAAAAGAAAAAAGAAAATAGAAAATGAAGAAATAGAAAAAAGAAAAAGAAGAAATAGAAATATGAAAAAAGAAGAAATAGAAAATGAATAAGAAGAAGAAATAGAATATGAATAATAAGAAGAAATAGAATAGAAGAAATAGAATATGAATATAAGAAGAAGAAATAGAAGATGAATAAGAAGTAAAAGAAGAAATAGAAAATGAAGAAAAGAAGAAATAGAATATGAATAAGAAGAAGAAATAGAATATAAATAAGAAGTAGAAATAGAATATGAATAAGTAGAAAAAGTTGCAACATTGTAACTATTTGTATCCATTTCAGATACAGATGTTTCTATTCGGATACAACTAGATACAATGTTGCTATACTTTTAAATGTCAAATATCGGACTGAAATTCTTTTTTTTTCTTCTTCTTATTCATATTCTATTTCTTCTTATTCATAGTCTATCTCTTCTTTTTCTTCTTATTCATACTCTATTTCTTCTTTTCTTCTTTTCCTTCTTCTTGCCGGTCACTGCTCGTTCGCATTTTTAAAAATCGGTATAAAGATCAGCCGATTTGTCCATCATTGCCGCGCGAAAAATCGGCCGAACAACAAAATTGGCCGATTTTTTTTTCCAACATGACCGAAAAAAAAAAAAAAAAAAAAAAAAAAGTGTCAAAATCACGAAAGACGGCCGACCTATTACCCCACTAACGATCCGAAAATAGGCAGATTTTTTTTTTCGGCTGAAAAATCGGCCAGTTTTCTCCCCATCTATGGCCTGCATAATGGTTTTGTAGTCCAAGATCAGAACTGGGAGGGCTGATTACACTTCTTGAGATAACACGGGAGCACATACGAGAAGTCCAGTGTTAGGGTTTACATACACTTTAAGTGTTAGGGTGATGTTAAGGTAGAATTCCAGGCTAAACCTAACTAGTCATAAAAATGCTCCCTAGATTTCCCCCCAACACCTCTTCTAACCTATGCAAGAAAGATGTATATACTTGCCTATTTACAGCCTGCTACAATGTGGTCACATGATCACCTATGTAGATGACAGCGAGCACTTGGCAACAGCTAGGAATGCCTGAGAGCTGTGCCATCACCCATAGGCTCCCATGGCTCATCCATTGTTGGCACTCCCTCTCCCCTGCAGCTGCCACTGGCTGACACAAGGTAGCCGGATCACATGACTGGATCGGAGCAGCCTGAAAACAGGTGAGCATATACATCTTTTCTATACAGGTTAGTCAGGGGGAGTGAGCATTTTTAAGATCAGTTAGGCTGGAATTGCACTTTAAAAAGAGGCCCTGTAACTGAAATCCAGTATTTTAAAGGCTTACTTGCAGCTTTTTTTTCCTTTCCATTAACTGTAGGATGACAGCGGTTTTGTTGCGCTAAAAATGGCATGTCATACCGTTATCCTTTTTTTTTTTTTTTTAATGAACTTTATTGAAATGCCACAAAGTGACATTTTATCAAGTCCTCTTGGACACAGCATGGTGCGCGGTAGTTGATTGCGTGCATTGCACTGAAAACGTACATGCTTTTTTCAATGCACACCAACGCTATGTGGTGGCATGAACTGGCCAGTTGGGAGACGAGATATTTTGCCTAGTCTTTTAGTGGAACTGCACTTGATGCAGTCATACTATAGCTGGGGTGAATGGGCTCTTAATAAAGAAGTAATTTTCACCCTAGGCTGCATTTTCTTTGCATACGCAATCCGGAGTAGGTTCTTTGTTCACTGTATGTCAGTGTGCCTTTCTGAGCCTATCAACTTCCTCAGTGAGAAAGCTCACAGGCTCAGAGAGGTACACTGACA